CAGTTATTGATGATTCATTTCAAGCCAGTACTCTAAATCCTGTAACATCATACTCCCTTATGCGCACCAATATAATTACATGCCCATGGATCCAGTAATTATCGAGGTACATGGAATATTGAACCTAATAGATAAGCTACCATTCCACTCCGCTCCTGGCTATGATGCCATTAATAGCAAATTGTTTAAAAGCACTAACATAGGTAGTTCTATGATACTAAGTAAAATATTTGAACAATCATTGAGTACTTCAACTTCCAAAGGAATGAAAAACAGGGAAGGTGGTTCCAATCTATAAATCTGGCCCCAGAAACTCACCTCTTATTTACCGACCCATATCACTAACAAGTAATTATTGCAAATTATTAGAACATGTAATCTTCTCGAATCTTGTTAACCTTCTAGAGCCTAACTCATACTTTGCTGAAGCGCAACATGGTTTTAGCAAAACGGTACTCCTGCGAGACACAGCTTGCTTCATTTACTCATCATCTGCATCGAATCCTGGATCAGTCATCTTGTGCTGACAGTATTTTATTAGATTTTAGCAAAGCATTTGACAACGTTTGCCATAAATTACTACTCTTAAAACTAAGCTTGCTAAATATCGATACTAACCTTCTTAAATGGATAGAACATTTTCTCTTTAATTGCTTCCAATTCGTAACTGCTAACGACCATCATTCACCACTCACTGAAGTACTATCAGGTGTGCCTCAAGGTTCAGTGTTGGGACCTTTATTATTCCTTGTATATATTAATGATATAACTTTTTCAATAACTTCTAACATACATCTGTTTGCAGATGATTGTGTTATCTACCGCAAAATTATCAATGTTGATGATACTTTAACGCTTGAAACTCACCTAAATAATATAGCTAATTGGTGCAATAACTGGTTAATGGAACCTAATATGGAGAAATGTAAGATAATGCATGTATCAAGAACTAACTCGAATCATAACATCTACCATCTAAACAACATTCCCTTAGATTCCGTCTTGTCTTATAGATATCTTGGCGTGCACATCACAAATAACTTTAAGCGCCACTCACCAGGCCCCATACCGAATTTTAGTTAGACAGTGGAAGTTGTTGGGTGTCCGATGAGGAACGTTTTGCCACAAAAATTTTTCGGATCGGTTCATCACAAGCGGAGAAAACGGCTTTTTGAAGCGGTGCGAAATGAGGATGAGAGTAGGCGGACTCGAAACCCTTGCCGCTCCTCCTGCGTAGCCTTTGTAAGCCAAATCTTTTCCCCGCCCTCTTCATCATGCGACCATGAAGTGACGTGCCCATTACGTGCCCAAACAAGTCCAACCCCCGAGCACGCGAGCTGCGTTCCTTTGCTGACCAGTGTTATTTTGTGGTCTTCTGCCTGTTTCTGCGGGATGGTTCGGAAACGCTGGCTTAGAAACGATAGAGTAGATGAGCACAATAAGTGCGCAAACGCGTAAGAGCGTTCTATGGCGATCGTCTTCTCAATGCGCTGACCGCGGGAACACGAACGCATGCGAAATGCTGGCACATTAGCCCCGCATCTCGTAGCATTTCACGGGGGAAAAAAATGAAAGAAAAACGTGCATAATTTTTTATTGCGTCTCATTATTCATTTGAAGTTTTATTAATCTCTTAAAGCAACAAATACACAAACTACGCATGTTGTGGTAAATAATTTTTGCCATGTCACGTGGTATACTGTTGACAACGTCAGAGCAGAGTCGTCTACATAGAGGACCAATGTCATTGCATTGCTGGGTACGTAGGGCTATTCCTACGCCCACATCATGCCCTCAATCTCTACGCGTGCACCGGCAGAGAGGAGGGGGAGCAGCGTTCATCTTGAAATTTCACCCATTTCCGCCGAGCGTAGGGTTGCAAATTTTGGCAGACGTAATCATGAACACCTCATCTACGCATTGCGCTTGTCAGCTCAAAATTCTCGAACCTGGTGAGTGGTCCTTTAAGTTGGACAACTCATGTAGATTACATAATTGACAATGCTAATCACATGCTCGGCTACTTACGACGTAACTTCTCCAAAGCACCCTCTTCCTTTAAACTAATACTCTACAAGGCTCTCATACGCCCTGAACTCGAGTATGTATCTGCCATATGGGATCCCAGTAATGCTAATCTCATAACCTCTCTTGAACTAGTACAAAATAACTCTGCCAGGTTCACCCTCACTAACTAAAACGGCGTTGCAAGTATGACTTCAATGAAAAATGACTTTTCACTTCTTCCATTTGCTCACTGATGAAAAATCGCCCGTCTTTCACTGTTTCATTAAGTTTTCTAGGTTGGAATCGCATCATGTTACACTAAGACTTTGTCTTTGTTTCAGTCATTTATTCCCCGCACATCTCATGATTGGAACCACCTTCCCTCGAATGTCGAAACCATCAATGACTTCAAACTTCTATCACGAAACATTGGCTAACATTGTATAACCAAGAAAATCTGTTACCTGTACTTCTTGCTTCAGTTTTTTTTATATTTTGGAAATTACTATTTCTGTATATTCTGCAGAAATGTTGATAATATCCAAGTCTTTTATTGTATTGTTTTATTTGTATTTATTGCACTGTTTTATTTGTATTTTTCATGTATTTACCCACTCCCCTCTTTAATGCCTTTTTGGCCCTGTGGGTATTATAAATAAAATAAAAATAAATAAAAAAAGCCTAGAAGCGTTTTGCTGTTCCTATCCAAAGAATCTAGAGTAGCAAGCAAAGCCAAAGCTTTGACCTGCTCTTTCGCGGCAGCCAGCAGCGCTGTGTCATTCGTTGACTTGTGTCCCAGGAAGATATACGCGAGTTGTTTTGACGGAATTATATTTTGCAAGTTGTTTTGATCACACGAAATTTTGGCCGGGAGCATTTGCGCTCCCCCTTATAGACTCTCACCTTAGTGCTATACTCTACCCTCGTTTGTCCGGCCACTTCAAGCCATTATGAGACCGCAGCACCGATGTTTGCGCTTGCGTTTGGGACACCCCTTTCCCTCCCCCCATGTTGCTCACGATGTTTGTTTTTTCTTCTTCTTTTGATGTCAAAAGTGGAGAAAAATAATTAATTCAGCGTGCCGATTTGACTTATGGCAGCAAAACGTGATTATTCTTGTCGCTAAAGGCAAATCCATCACAGCTCACAGCTACAAAGTCTTCAAAAATTCGGTAAGCCCCCCCCCCCTCCCCCTCAACTCGGGGGTTTTACGAATTTCTCAGTTGTCAGGTTGGGATGAATGCTAATACTATGTGTATTGCAATACTATTTTTCACTTCACTATAACCAATATATTGTTATATCTGGGTTCGTTACATCAAGGTTTCAGTGTAGTTGACTCAGCTTGATAAAAACTATGCCTTAAGGAGAAGGTATTTAGACTAATCTAACGAGTACTCAATTTCGCGAGTTCACAATAAATATGCTCATGAATGAATCGCTATCACATTTTAGCTATAGAACTGAAGCACAACTCTATTCTGACTATTAGAAAAGAATAAATAGCGAGAGCCAAGCACACTCTTTCTTTAAAGAATGGAAAGTTAATTATTCTGGCTGTTCACCTCCTGAAAGGCTGTTTTACTGGCTTTGCTATCACTTTTAAATACTCCTTCATTAAATAGCATTACTTTGACAAAGCCAACATATGCAAAGTTGCTTATGAAAGTTTGTAAGCTTTTCTTTGAGATTTGGTTATTTTCTTAATGTTAGCTGCAATAACTTTTCCTGAACAACATGCAGCTCAAGATCCCCGTTTACGCTCCTCACAATCACCAGCCATGAAAAAAAAACATGATGCAGGTATGTTTAAGATGACCTTCCTTTGTTGTGCATCACAATTTGCTGCATTTCACTGCAAACAGATAGGACACGTACAGGCCTCATGCAAAACAACGCAAACTGACCACAACATGTGCTCTGGTGCCATTGTGTGATGGCGATGACAATACATTGACTCCTTTGATGACCGCATGTGTGGTTTCCGTGTAATGTGATAATAATGCACAGACAATCTTCCTTTCCTGTTTTCACTTTCATTTGACTTCGTTACTCTGCCCCCCTTTCCTTGCATTTTCTCCTCTAGCCAAGCTCCTGTGTTCTTCTGTTCTCTACTTACTCCTGGTGGGGAACTGAAGAACGCGAAGAGAATACGAAAAGGCGAATGCTTTTTGTTGCTTTCTTTGCTGATGAAGCCGGCCCTTTCTCCATTTGCAGGCTAGGCGTGAGGAGGTACCACCTTTATGCCCTGACTTCCTCTCTCTTGCTTTCTTTTGTTCGCCCGAATGTTCCCACCAAGGAGTTGGTTGTGCAGAATCCCCATCAGTGTTGGTCGCTGCGAGAGTTAGTCTAAATAGAAGAGGCCTGTTATGCGGTTCGTCTTTAGCAGATTTTTTTTTTTGCATTGAGTCTATGGGAATCCAAACAAACACTCCTGTGTTGTTTGTCTTAAGCAAGAATTTGCTTAACAGAATTCGTCTTAATGGGAGTTTACTGTAATTTGGTACGCTGCAATGCGTGCTGGAGGACTTTTGAATTCCTGAGGGGAAAAAACATGTTCGCCTGGTAAGAAAAGAGTTTTGAGGCACTCCAAGCTATGCTCATGAGTTTCATTGGCAACCACGGTGTTCTAGTGGTTATGGTGCTCGACTGCTAAAGCACAGGTCGCGGGATCGAATCCTGGCTGGGCACCTTCGATGGAGGCGAAGATGCCTGTGTATTTAGATATAGGCGCACGTTAGAGAACTGTGGGTGCTCAAAATTTTTGGAATGTTAAACCCCATCGATTATGATTATCAATTGCCACCCACAGTGACCACATTTCACTCGAGGCAGAATGTGTAGAAAAGCCCGTGCACTTTGATTTAGGTGCATGCTAAAGAACCACAGATGGTGAAGAAAAATCCGGAGACGTACACTAATATTGATTGTAATGCGGCTCAGTGGCGTTTAAATCCCATTGTAACCACGAGAATGTTTTTCAACTTTTGCAGGGCCACATGAACAACAAGGGCATTCCCCTGGAGGCATCCTTTAGTCCGGACTCTCAGTTTGTGTTCAGCGGCTCGACAGACGGTCGAGTGCACGTGTGGAGCACGGCCGAAGGGGGCACACGCACCGCAGTGCTCAGCTGCGACCACACGGGGCCCGTTCACTGTGTCCAGTTCAACCCGAAGTACATGATGCTGGTCTCTGCCTGCACAAACATGGTCAGTGCAACGATAGTGTCTCACCGAAGGTGCTGCCACTAGAATACAGTGGACTATGCAAAACCTAAGGCAGTGACACTCAGCCTTGCCCGCACGACCTTGTGCCTTTGCAAGGAAGGTAGATTAAATCTTCCAGTGGCAGCTAATGGCAGTTTAGTTGAAGTTAGTGCGACCGAACCGTTATTCTCAACTTTATTCTAACACACATCTTGCTGCCAATGAATAAAGTCTAATTGCCTGTGCATGAAAATGAAACCGAAACCGTGTTGCCAACAGCCTCCTTTCAAAAAAGTCCAACACAGTATCATCGCTATCACACAATAGCCACCATAGAGTTTCTTAAAATTGACTAGAGGCATGGTCGCTGAATGAAAAAGCGCATGGATACGGCCCGGAGCACCGCTGCAGAGCCACCGGGGGCGACGGGTTTTGCGATCGCTCACGGAATCGCATGCGCGGCGTGCTAGCTGTAGTTGCTATAGAGCGCGTGCGTCATTGTGTGAGCTGCGAAATGTTCTTTTAATATCACTCTAGCGTGTGCCCATCAGGTAATAATTGATCTTGCTTTTACATACCTGCAGCCCTTGCAAATTTACGGCATTGTCTTGCCCGAGATTCAACCTTGTACATCAATCAGTTTTCGTGGAAGAAAGAATTGTCAGCATAATTTACTGGGTTACTACAATATCACAGCTAACCGATCTAAAAGAGCTACACCTTTCCTAACACATCGGAAGTCATTGTAGTAAATGTGAGTATGTCACCTCAAAAAACGTAGCTTCAGATTTAATCATTTCATTTAGAATAAGTAACCTCAGCATTTGCAGTTGCCACTGTTCATTTAACACAAAATATAATAGACTTTTTACTTACTCCAATCACAGCTATAGTATAGTCAACTCTCGTTAATTCAAACTTGAAGGGACCTCTGAATTTTGCTTGAATTATCAAGAAGTTTGAATTAACAGAAGTTTTCAGATAGATGACTCTGGGTGAGGTCACACCACACATTATGATTAGGCATTGATTTTATCACATTTAAAAATTTTTAGTCTTTTTTAACCCTAACTGCACGCAGTGAACAGAAAACAGGGGTGTATATTCAACTAGTTTATTGGCTATTCACTGCTGATAAGATCTTTTAAAGAAATCGTTAATTGCGAACTGCTTCATTGCTATAGGTATGTACCGTCAGCATGAAGCTCTGTATACCAGTTGAGAAGCATCACGATTTACCATGCGTGTGCATTGTTTCAAACATTTGTTTACTTGTAAAGCCTTTTTCCTTGAAGACCAGGGATGCTTATTTTTCATTTTTAGACTGTTCGAATTATATAGGCACACAAATTTTTAAGTGGTAGTGGGAAAGCAAGATTCTAGTATGGACCTGCAAAAAGTATGAATTAACCCGAAACATGAAGTTTAAATTTAGAGGCTTTTAAATACATTGAAAGAATAGAGGGCCAACTAAAAAATTGAGTTAGGATTGAATTAACCGAAAGTTTGAATTATTGCGAGTCTACTGCATTCATGCAATACAGTATCAGATACAGCAGCCACGAAATAATACTAATGTGTGCACGTGGAATCTCATAAAAGTGGACTCGAGCCTCTTTGAAATTTTATTCACTGTAACTTCAATGCTGGCAATTGAGAGAGATATTATGAAGTGAATATAATGAAAATTGTGACTTGAAAAGAGCAGTGAAAGGCGAAAAATACGAACACAAATGCTTGCATTTCTGCGTTTATTAATGTTTTTGTCTCTCTTCATCCCGACGTTCTTATTATAATGCAACTTATTCAACCTTGTATAGAACAGTGAACACATAATTGGAACAAAACGCGTAATATATTTTGTTTATTCTCAATTTATGGCTGATTCTGGCTTTTTTTTTTACTTTTTTACCTCTTTGCCTAATAAAACGAGTTGACAATTGCTTCACAGTCTCGTCGGCAATATTTTTCAGAGAGAATATCCGAGTAAGTGCATATTAGTGGGCGACACACTCACTCACACAAAGCACACTTACAAAAGGTGCTCCATTCCGCATTCCACTTATTTGTTTACGTTCACACCACCACAGCCGCTGGCTGCGAACAATGCACCCAAAAGTCATGACGCCACTTTTTCATTTTCTCTTATCTCTAGTTTTTTTTTCTAATTCTCAGCTTGGGTCATATCTTGGGTCATTGTTCCATGCTTAAGGAATAGAACATAAGCGTCAGCGAGGATTGTTCTAAGAGGGTTGTCGAAATAGAAAAAAGTCTTTGGGCGTCTTTGCAGGAGGAGTGGTCAAGCGAGCAAAGGTTAAACAAATACACGATAAATTAAAATCAACAATGTCCTTTACGCATACAATGAAGACACGAAGGAGCGCTACGAGTGTCGTGCTCGTCAACAGACTGATTCTGCCTGAATTTCGGAAAGGGAATGCTTCAAAGTACTGAATGTGAATGCTAGAAGCGTTTTAAATAAGGTTGAGGATGTTGAAGTGCTAATTTTAGAACATGAACCGGAGATAATGATGATTACGGAGACATGGCTTCATAAATATTAATATATTAGACAGTGAGATAACTCCCAAATCTTATATTATAGTTAGGAAAGACCGAAATAGTAGAGGGGGGGGGGGTGTCGCATTGCTGATTCGTGATAAAATAGAGTTTACTGTGCTTCCTGTTCCTTATGACATAGAGGCAGTGTGGATTAAGGTGGTTTTTAAAGATCGCGTAATTCACACAGGTGGTTTATATAGGCCACCAAATTCACCAGTCCAAGTTCTTTCTAGTCTCCGGTGCTTTATAGACAGCAATATGCAACATAGTGATAATATTATCCTTTTGTGTGACTTCAACCTGCCAAGCATAAACTGGAACGACTACTCTCCCGGAGCAACAGAAATTTCGAATTGTGGAGCATTCCTTGAACTGGTTTTCTGCTTTGGTTTAAGCCACTTGATGAACGACAATACAAGAGTCAGTACGCGTAGCTCATCCATCCTCGGAACTTTTTTTTGTATCTGATAAATTCTTGTCCACGCTTTAGGACTGCAAAATTTGTGATGGTATCTTCGATCACAAACTGGTAGTGCTGTCTTTGACTGTTTCGCCCACCGCTATCAATCATCCCTCAAAATATGTATTTAACTTTGCTCAAGCAGATGATGTTGGAGTACTGGAATTGTTAGAAGACTCCTATGAGTGTTTTTGTGAGTACTATGAGTGTTATCAGAGCCCAGATTATCTCTGGAAATATTTTTCCAATTTGGTAATGTCTTGTATTGAACGTTTTGTACCAAAGCGACTCCAGAAAACTAGTGAAATAAGTTCTTGGATAACGAAGGAAATAATTCACTTAAAGAGACAAAATAAAAATATGAGAACAATAAAATTAATCAGTGTACAAAACCAATCAGCCATTGGAAATCTTGGAAAGGATCTTAAATTACCTTTAAAAATATCTAAAGAAAGGTTTTTTGCCATCACATTCCCAAAATTTTTAAGGGAGGCACCTGATAAAATTTGGAGATATGTTAACCCATCAACGAAAGCTCGCTCAATGACTCAGGCTGCGCAGTTCCCCACCGCTGTGAGCTTTAATGAATATTTTGCTTCAGTGTTTACTGATAATGGAATTTTACCAAACATTGTTTCACTATTCTACAGGCCACCTATAACTGACTTGGTAATTATCGAACAGCGTGTCTTCAACCTCTTGCTCAGTTCGAACTTTTAAAAAAAGCCCTGGGCCCGATGCTATCCCTAGTGAATGTCTGTACAGATACGCTGAATGGAATTCCAAATACCTCGCATTAATTTTTAGGTCTTCCCTTCTCCAGTGTTCCTTACCCAAAGAGTGGAAAATAGCTAAAGTGATTCCTATTCCTAAAAGTAGTAGTTCTGACAATGTAGCAAATTATCGGCCAGTTTCAATTGAGTACTTGCTCAAAACTGCTTGAACATATCATTTCGAAACATCTATTAAACGATATGAGTAAGCATAATATTTCATCCAACTGCCAACATGGTTTCGACAGCGTTCATCTACATCTCAGCTCATAGAATTAGTCCATGACCTTTCCAAAACTATTAACTCACATGCTCAGACAGATATAATTTTCATGGACTTCGCGAAAGCTTTTGATAAAGTGTCTCACAGTAAATTACTCAGAAAAATTGATGTTACGTTCCAAAATCTTATCATCACAAACTGGTTTTCATCCTATTTTTATTTTGTGAGCAATTTGTGGAAATCAATGGCACTAAGTCTCCTGTTTCAGCTATTAAGTCGGGAGTACCCCAAGACAGTGTCCTCGGCCCACTTCTGTTTCTTTTATTCATAAATGACCTTCCGAATGAAATTGACGTTTCTATTAGGCTATTTGCACACAATTGCATCATATACAATAAAGTCGACACACTCAAAAATTTACAGAAAATAAAAAAAGGTGTGATGAATGGCAAATCGTGCTGAACCACCTGAAAACAGTTATGACAGTCACTAGGAAGAAAAATTACTTAAATTATACTTATTATATTGATAATCATGATCTAAAGAGAGTTGAACAATATAAGTACCTTGGTTTGAATTTTACAAGTGATCTTCGCTGGAATTATCATATAGAGTATGTGTGTGCAAAAGTCACTAGAGTACTATGGAGTCTTAGGTGCCATTTTCCATTTGGGGCACAAGAAACTAAATGTTTAGCTTACAAAACGCTTATTAGACCAATAATTGAATACGCAAAAATTGTCTGGGAGCTATTCATGGTTACAAACATATCGAAAATTGAAAAAATTGAGCATTTAGCAGTCCAGTTTATATTTAATAAATATCGGTGAACAGAAACCCTATCTCAACTGCGTACTAGCAGAGCTACCCACGATTCAAGCTAGGACAAAATACGAAGGACTTAAGTATCTTTCAATCAATCAATCAATCAATCAGTTTATTATCATGTCATAAAAGGATCTTACAGGGAGTAAAATATACAGAC